AGGTTTTGCTCTGGCTCAGGCTGGTCTTGAACCTGTGAGCTGTGGCAATCCACCTGTGTGGGCCTCCCAGAGTGCTAGGATTACAGGCGTGAGCTACCTTGCCCAGCCTAGATGGGTGTTTTTTTTTTTTAATGAATTCTAAATATTTAATAAGGGAAGATTCTGAGATTCAAGATAAGTTCTGAAAACACAGTATGGGTATCTTGAGGGGTAGTATTAGAGATTGGGAAATGAGAGGATAAACTAGGTAAAGAATGAAGGGAGACGAGTTCTTGTCTGGGCAGCAGACTAGAAAAAAACTAAAAGTATAGAAGGAATTTAAGGAGATATTTAGGAGAGAAAAGGCAGATGACAAGTTTTTTAGGGTACGGATTGAAAGTTTGAAAACAAAAAGAATACTAGTGAATATAAATCAATTCAGGAAAAAAATATGAGGACAGTATTATTTGGGGGCAAGGTGGAGAAGAAAGAAAGAGAAGAGCGTATAGGCAAGTGCAGATGCTTTATTTTTATTTTTTTAGAGACAGAGTCTCACTTTGTCGCCCTCAGTAGAGTGTCATGGCATCACAGCTCACAGCAAGCTCCAGCTCTTGGGCTTAGGCAATTCTTTCCTCAGCCTCCTGAGTAGCTGGGGCCACAGGTGCCTGCCACAACACCCAGCTACTTTTTGTTGCAGTTTGGCTGGGGTTGGGTTTGAACCCCACCACCTTCAGTATATGGGCCTGGCACCCTACTCACTGAGCCACAGGCACTGCCAAGTACATATACTTTAAATGTTGCACCCTGACTCTGTATTTCACAAGCAAACTGGAGACAGTCTAAAAAGGGGGGAAAGGGGTTTTTCCCTAAATTCATCATGAGATGGTTATAAATAAAGATGACTTTCAAGTAATTGAGAGAAATTGCCTCAAGGGAGAGAGTGTGAGGTGAAGAAGAAAGAGATCTGGGAGATAGATTGCTTGTAAACTGTAAACAGGAAAGGCTGAGCTCATTCAGGGGGAAAATTTACAAATAAAAGACTGAAACTGAATTTTTGCACAATGCGAAAGATTAGGGGATATCCAATAGTTAATTGAAAAACTAATGCTGGCTAGGCACCTGTGGCTCAAGTGGTTAAGGC